AGTCGATTTTGAAATCGATTTTATTTGCTTGACATATATCCATTTTTGTTTGCATGTAACTTCGTAATTTTTGAACGTCATTTTCAACGAATTCAAGTATTTTTTTATTTTTTTTATTCTTTATTAGAGCCATAAATTCAAGGATTAAATTGATAATTTTCACACGCATCAAGCAATGATTACAATTGAAATAATTTTATAGCTTCGCGCTAATATCCTAACGTAGCTATCAAAAAAAAAAAAAAAATAGATGAAATTATTTGTTACTTCGCTTTGTAATTGAAGCGTTTATTTCTTTGATATATAATCAAAATTCAGTTTCATGAAAACGTTTGAAGAAAACATTTTCCTGACTTCATCACCTATATGTTATGGTGAAGAATGGCGGAAGGGCGGCTGAAATGGATTCTGCCATCAGATAATTCACCGTGTATATGAAAATTACGATTACCACGTTTTTCTCCGATAACAATTAATCCAAAATAAAACAGTCCGTGTAAGCTGATACTAAAAATGTAATGTGAGCCCCGGTGAAGGTCGCATTTTAATGTTAAAATACATAATTATTACGGTGTCATTAAGGACGTTCATTACAGAAGTTATTCGTGATTTGCATGATAATTAAAGGAAATTCGATAAGATAATGTGGAATGAACTGAGATTATAATATTAAATATATCTGTTTTTGTTTATTATAACTCATAACATAAATCATATTTTCCACGAAGCTAAAATGTGATAAAAAAGATTTTATTTATTAACGGCCGTCTGGTGTAGTGGTAAGTGACATGGTCACTACACAAGGGGGTCGCGGGTTCGAATTCCGCCAAGGGAAGATATTTGTATGGTAAATATAAATGTCTTTTCCAGGGTTATGGATGTATATTAAAAAATATATGTATGTGTATAATAAAAAATCTTACATTTATTTCCGTTATCTGGTACCTGTAACACAAGTTCTTTACGAACTTATCACGGGACCAGTTAACGTGGCGTGATTGTTAGTAAATATTTATTTATTATTTATTTGAATTGATTATTTATTTAAGTAGGAAATCCCTGTGCCCCATTCTTTTTCATTTTAACAAAAAAGCTGTGACGATAAGTACGAATGACTTAAACGAAGACTGCAATGTGTTTTGTGCGAGTTTCTTAACTTCTCGATTGCGTAAAAGGGAACGCAAACGAAGGGAAGCTGTTCCAGCTCCATACAAATTTGTGCTAACTTTTACGCGATCGAGAAGTTAAAAAACACAGAATGACGATTTTATTAAAGTCACAGCATCTTCTTGAATCTCGTAAACACAAATTAACACACATATTAAACAGTTTAAATATCGCGTTTATTTTATCATTTAACATTGATCATTTTTTCTTTACTGGTGGTAGGACCTCTTGTGAGACCGCGCGGGTAGGTACCACCGCCCTGCCTATTTCTGTCGTGAAGCAGTAATGCGTTTCGGTTTGAAGGGCATGGCAGCCGTTGTAACTATACTGAGATCTTAGAACTTATATCTCAAGATGGGTGGCGCATTTACGTTGTAGATGTCTATGGGCTCCAGTAACCACTTAAAACCAGGTGGGCTGTGAGCTCGTACACCCATCTAAGCAATAAAAAAGAAAAGGTCGCTTACGTCTGTAAAACTTCAAGATCGATTGTCAGAAAACAATGAAGAGTGATTTTACAAAGGAAGTCGTGCGACACGAGACATATTTGCAAGCCGCGAACGTTTCAAGCGATGATACCACTGGCTCCGCTTCTGTATACAATCCGTAGGTACAATACGACCGACGTAACTTGGCGAGTCTGAATATAGCCGCAGGTGAACTTTCGCGCATGTACACTCGTAAAAAAAAGTGTTATTAACATTCATTTTTTTAAATCAAAATACGAATTAGAATTTCCATATACAGGGACCAAATACAAATAAAATGAATATCAAAAATAATAAATTAAGACAGAAAGCGGTAAAAATAACGTAATTAAATTAATTCGAAAGTAAGCCCGAACACTGCCTTCAGTTGCGATCCGCTGTACTGTGCGTTGCGATACACCAGATCGTTAGCAACTCTAAATAAAACTGTCAACATCTTTTACGCCTTCTTCTTTTTCTTTTTAAAAAAAAATCAAACATTAAGTTTGTCGGCCGTCGATTTAAAACACTATTATGCTTTGGTGGCATCTTTGTTAACGAATAGTATAAATGCCAAGGGACCCTTAATACTAAAACAAATTTAAACACAAACAATCTTAAAACTAAACAAAAACTGAGCACTAAACAAAAACAGTATAATAATAACAAATCAATGAAAACTTTTGTAGCCGCCCGTACTCAAGACAGAGATAGCGACACGAACACGACACTAATGCTAGCGTGTGAGTGAGACACATTACAGCGTACCGAGAATTACCGAATTTATACGATGTCAAGAAAAGGGATGTCCAATATGCGTGTTTGAGGATGTTGTTTAATCGATTTTTTTTTAAATTGATTAAAGTTTATATAAAAATATATATTTATATTCCATTTTATAGGAGGTTTAAAATATTCACAAATAGTCCCTATTGTAGTAGTTGTTGATAAATAACTGATATTCAACTAAATCATGTCTTTCAACCAAGAAAATAAAGTGTTATTCGTTTTTTTTTTATTAAAGATGAAGTCTCGTTTACTAACGACAACATTCAATATGTTTGTAAATCTATTTCATTCAATATCTCATATAAACAAAAATCAATAAATTCCAAACCGATAAAAATCGATTGCGATATTTGATTGAATAAAGAGACGATTGTGTTTACATAGAGTCAATCCCTAGCCTAGACCTCCACCCCGCGCACGTTGCTCATACCACCATTTAGTTCCTAAAAACGTTTGTGCGCAGCCTTCTGCACGAAGTTCGGACTCGCCAAGTTACGTCGGTCGTATTGTACAACTTCCAACGTAAAACAGCTGTGTACAACTGAATAACAATAGATCGAGGCAGTATGAACGTTTTAATGTATCTCAGAACTCCGAACAAGCATACATATTTTTTTCTTTTTAATTCTGTGAAAATACATATTTGTATTTTAATTTTGACGTGACAACGTCTTATAATTCAATGGAGCCGGCTGCGCGCACGAAAAAACATGACTCAATGAGGCGTTCCATTTAAGGCTTGAAGTGCAAGCGAGAACGCGCAACGAGCGACAAAGAGGCACAATCGGCCTCCGCGTTCGGTAGCGTTCGACATCTGTCTCTCTCCTACTCGAGTGAGCGATGCATCCGCGTGGACAGCTGCTATACAATAATACATTTACGTGTTTTCGTCAACTATGAAGTTCAGTGAAAAGTGAATGTGGTGTCAATTGTCCATACAAATCTATCAAACAAATAAAATTAAATTTTTCTTTTGAAAAATGAAACTATTCCATCAGTATTTTCTTATGACGTTGTCACGTTCTACTATCGTCAGTAAACCCACTTTACAGAAAACCGATTTTTTTTCATTATTATAGTTTCCTCCAAGTTTAAGCTAGTGGAATTGTTACAGCAATACAAATAAAAACATGCACAATGGTTTAATTAGAAAGGAATTTATGTCGTGCGGAGGCCGTCTTTCACTTGGGTTTATTGTAGAAAGATATGAATAATCTTAGATATCACTTTTTTTCAATACCTATTCGTTGGTAACCTAAGTATTCCAGCTACGTTATGGCTGGTAGATGAGCTCACGAGGCTCAACCTGAGAGAGTTGGCTAACACTGGCCTTAGCAAGAGCAGCGCTTTGCAGAATCTACCACCGGATCGGAATCGCGTCCCATTGAAAAGATCCAGGGAGAAACTCAGTAGGGGAGATGTCCTGAATACAATGAATAGTGATAAGGCAATGGAATATCTAGACTGAATTTAGAATTAGATAAGGTTCTCCAGAGTATTGTGACGGAACAATTTTAAATTTATCGACACAAACTGCGTTCATTCAGGCGACGGAACTGTAAACGGGGATACTCAATGGATAGGGCTGTCCAATTTAGATAATATGTAATGCTATACAATTTATCATAAAGCTTTTGCATTTTTAAGTACGCCTTAAAATTTTACCAGAAAAAATATAATACACAGAATTCTGTCATATTTTCATTGCAAAAGGCAGACTAGCCGACCTTAGGAAAAACAGACTAGACTATAATAATTTTATATATCGTTAGTTGAAACTGTTCTAGGATCTTAATGTGTTCGATCTACAAAACAGTTTGCTTCGTCTCTTAGCGCAGACTATAATAGTTTAACAATACCGGAAATACATTTTCTGATTATGGACCGTACTATCGCCAGCCCTACCGTCTCTCATTGTATACGACAATGAATGAACACGAGTACTATTACAACGAAAGGAATCCGTGATGTTTCATTTATTCTCAAAGCAATCTTTCTTTATCTGAATTATTGTCCTTGTGCCTGGATATCGACATTCAAGCTACGTACAAGTTATAACTCTACGTTATTCGTAGTACAAACTACAAAGAACACGCACACACACACGCAAGCAAAGAAAGATTTATTTACAAGTTCGCGTACGAACCTGTAACACCTAAGCATTATCATATAAAATAATCACAATCTTATCGCCCCTCCGAAGGTCGGTAATACTATCAAGTAGGATTTTATCAGGTAGTATTTATTCCAAGCGAGATACGGTTGTCTTGGTTTAAAATAAAAGAAGATGACAAAACGATAGTGTTTCGATATAGTAATGTAATTACGTCGGACATGAGTTTTATCATTCGTTTATTTGATTTTGATTGATTTTGCAGATTCGCAAATAAGGTATGAAAGAACCGATCCGAATTTGAGAAGTTAAATTCGTGGACATCTACGACCTTATGCCTTTAATTTTAGGGATTATGTGAATCAATCACAACTTTTTTTTAATAACGAATAAATACAATGAAACCTAATAAAAACTGCATGCAAACGATTTCTTTTCGAGTCTAAGGGTGTTATAAAACAAACCTGTGAATATTCTGGAGAAGGCGGCCTGGCTGCAGGGTACTTGGAGGCCATACGCGCCCCGGCCCCGCACCCCTGCGCTGTACCCTCATCCTCGGCGTAATACAGGTGCACGAAATCCTCCGTGTCCAAAAACGTATTGATCAGCATAATCCTTAGCACAATTATAACTTACACCTAATAAACAGTCTATTATATCAGACTTTCGAGGCACTTTGACACTAGATCACCACTTTAGGAAGCACAACACCATCGATTTATAGATTTTGAAACGTTCCATTTTTCGTCTTTTTGCAATTTTTTTGTTTTTCGTCTTCTTCTTTATTTATTAAATAAATAAATAAGTTACACTATATTCGTATAAAATTACATTTGAATCAGCCACATCGCCCTGCAAACGAATGAATTTCGTTATGAGATCTCGACTGTGCGTGCGGGCGTTTCGATGGAAAGACTCATTAATCGTTAACGATTGTTCTGTGCTGAGGCCATCATCCGTCGGCTCAGGCGTGTCGATCACGCCTTTTATTGATAACGCGAATTCACACGCGGCTGTGTTTACTTTCATTTATGTGTTTCATGGTCGAGCATCTTCTGATAACAACACTGATCGTGCTAGAGAACTAAAAGGACAATACAAAATCAATTCAACCAAAGTTGATAGAAAATTAATGTAGGATTGGTAAGAACGGAGCGTATTAGAGAGTGCGGAACGGAGCGTTAAAATGTGTGTGAGAGAAATCGGTAAGAAAAGGAAAAGAGAATGAAAGACAGAATGACAGAGAAAAGGAAGATGGCGAAGACGGTTAAGGCGTAATAAAAGTGTTACTAAATTTTTAATTATTATTATAACGGAAGATTTTGGAACAGTGGAAGTTTTATTTTGTGCGGTGCGGTCCCTATTCTAAATTAATATGGGTGATTTTCCGTGATCTCTTCCAGATAAATTCGGAAAAAAAATATTCTCGAAAGTTTTTATTACAAATAGTGTCGAAAGGTTAGAGATGAAGGCAATTTGTACCAACAATGAAGATTTACAAGTTGATTGCAATAGATCAGATGATTGCACAAAGTCCAACTTCTAATAGTGTCGTAAGGCTCAATAACAAAATCATTCGATGTACCATTGGGCTTAGAAATTGTTATTTTTAACAGACTTGGAAAAAATGGATGGTCGAATTGAGATTTTGTTGATTGAGACTGTACTGTATACGAACCGATTCTGATGATTTTTTATTTGAATGCAACCGCTTCTCGTGTGGTTCCATTTAAATTTTAACTAGATCTGACCAGTCTTTTCGAGTAATTCTTAACAGTGAGAATATTTAACGGACTTGGAACACCTTGACCATTGTTAAAAAATCGTTTCATTATTTTTAACTTTTTTTATTGCCCTTGTAAGCAGACGGCCCACCTGATGGTGAATGATTACCGTCGCCCATGGACTTCAGCAATGCCAGATCTAAGTCGTTGCTTTCAATGAGGACGCTTTCCATTCCGAACGTATTTTTAACTTATTACTTTTTATCGTATTATTTGTTTGTTTTCTAAAAAGTTCTAAATGGAACATTTCTGAGTTCGCTTGCATTGTTTATCCGATCGTCTTGAACAGTTTGTGCCGTTGTTGTCGATAGCACAGATGGTAGTCTCAGTGTGAAATTGTTTGACTAAATTAATTATATAATTGGCTCTACAATCCCAATTAAATTTGTAGCGCCATTAAGTAAACACAGCCTCGCGTTTCTACAATTGAGAATTAACTGAAGACAATTTAAGACAGTATACCAAGAAATTTGAATACGAAAAGCCAACACAGTGTATATTTCGCGACATATAATAACATGGTGCTTGGTGTGGAGAATATTTAAAACATTATCTATATTACTAAATGTTTGTTATAGCATCGCCTCTATAGAGGACACATTACATTGCGCGCTCGGGTACCCGTGTTTAATTTTGCGACGAAAAATACGCTATATTCTTTGCTATGGTTCAAACTATTTCTAAGCAGAATTTATTCGAAATCGGTCCAGTCGTTCTTCGGGCGTGAAGGCGTAACAGACACAAAGAGTATCTTTCTTAATAATAATATTATTTGTTATCTACCTAGTCAAGTTGCGGGCCACGCGGAGTACGTTTTAAAAAATAGAAATTATATTTTATGAACGTTTATTCCGTACCAAATCTGACTTAAGACTAACTTATTACTGATCTTAATCTAACGGGAAGGGCATCGGACCACCGGTCCAGCGGATGCCGTCGTCTGCGAATTCCACAATTCAGCAGTTGAGTTCGCCGAAGATCTGCCTTTGCAGACATGCGTCAGCAGAGGTGCCCGACTTAACTGCCTTCTAATTTCAAACAGTATAACAAATAAACAAACATTCCGTTTTAATTTTATTATATTCTGATCCAAGTGAATAATTGTGTACATGTGTTGTTTCGTTTATTACTTTTTGAAACATACACGAACAAACAAAAAGACTGGTTTAAAAAAAGGTTTATGTTCTATCTACTTTTCTTCAATATACATACACATTGTACTATTTTTTGATACGTATAAAGGTTTGAAAATGCAAAAACGGCTTTTAAGAACCAGTGGCGGTAGCTATCACAGATCAGAAGGTTGCGTGTTCAGATCACGTCGGGCTCACCACTGTAGGAGCAGTAGTACTAGTGCTGCTTCACTAACTGTATTGGGTAGGCACTGACGTAAAGGATGGATAACACAGTGAGTACATATTCATACTCCTACAAACCATTCTCTTATTTCTCTGTAAAATCTGTTGGCGAAATGTGACGTGTGACGACAGAAATTGCAAAAATAACCGGCATAATTGTTTACGCAGTCTTCTAGCAAATGCTATTCATAGTTCAGGGCCGTTGCAACGACTACGCATAGCTGTTGCTATTATTTCGCTGTTGTTTCGTTGTGTCGTGCGATAAGTTCGTTCAATGTTAGGTTAGTTCGTTAATATCAAAGCCCTAAACACGTCATTACGGATCCTCCCGATCTATTAACGGTGCTTTTAGGTACCTCAAGCACCGGTCACCGTCCTCACCGAACCCGTCGCTTGCGACGAAGGGCTCAGCGAGTGAATTAACCCATAGACACAGCCCTCTGAGTTTCTCGCCGGATTTTCTCAGCGGGTCGCGATTCCGATCTGGTGGTAGATTCTGTGAAGCACTGCTCTTGCATAGTCGAGTAAAAACATAAGCGTCATTTCATAAGGTTGAAATATAAAAATGAACCAATCATGTTATTCGTTCAATTTGCTAACAACGCTTTATCATGTTTCTCAAAAATAATTAAGCAATAGTGATTTGATAATGCTGTATAAACATTATTTATAACGTAACTCTGGGTTAATCAAATATTATTATTATAGGGGCGTTTTTTTCTCTTATCTTCTTGAATGACGTTTTTATATAACCTTTACCATCTCAATTAAAGAACCTATCGCGTGTGTTTTTTTTTAATTAAAAATCGGAACTATATAAATAGGCACAGACAAAAAGGTCGTACCTTTATCTCATGTGTTTGTCAGCCAATTTCCTTTTTGTTTGCGTTTGAAAGTTGTTAATACGTGTTGCAATCAATGTAGATTTTTTTCCTTTCAAAACATCTATAATATCAAATAAATAAATAAATAAAGAAATGTGATATATAACATACAAACGAAGCAAACCGAACAAACAATAATTTTCATATATTTTTATCCTACTGATACTGGTATAGGATATGGAAGTTTGTATATTTTTTTTTGAGGGAGTCCCAATAGAGTCCCTTCCTTATTTCGCGTGAAATTCGTGTTTTTTAATCACTCGTAAATTACACCACAGTCGAAACAATGTCTTGCCGTTGGTGGCGGCATTTACGTCGTAGATGTCTATGGGCTCCGGTATCCACTTAACACCAGGTGGGCCGTGAGCTAGTACACCCACCTAAGCAATAAAAAAAAATCATAAAATTCTGACTCCGAAAACGACGGCATTCATAAAGCCACTCATCCTCTATTTTACCTTGACTGTGAAATTTCCAAATCCTTTCCTTGATGCAAAATTAAATTAAAAAGGCATAGTTAATAATAGTTAATTGATTAATTTAAGTAATTTATTTAATTTAATTAAATCATTTATTTAGTTTTAAAGTTACAAAGGATTGGCAAAAATCGTTAAATTTATTTGACGGTTTATAATAAAATTTAAGAATATTCACTTATACTGTATTCATTCGCGACACAGTACTCATCAGGGTCACTGAGTACTGTTTGATTGATTTTAATTAGAAATTTTTGGTTTGTTCACGCACACACACTAGCGCGCGCATGCTGTGTGTGGGGTTCATTAAACTGCAACGGATGTGGAGATAATCCATTCATTGTTATGCCATTGTTGTTTGTCTCGACTCGAAACAGATATTCAAGAATTTTGATTGATTTAAGACGAGTCCGTATCAAATGATGACGATTATTGTTGGTTCGGCCGCTTACCCTTGAGATATCGCGATGGACGTATGGGAGAAGCCATCGTAGCCCTTAAACAACTAAACAATACAACGACCATACTGTGACCGAGTATATGATAGAATACACCAAGTTATCTTGTTCAACTTCTTCTTTCTTCTTTTTCTCCACCTTATCCCACTAAGTGGGGGTGGCACAGCGAATTTTTCTATTCCATTATCTTCTATCAGACGTCATCTCAACACTCACTACTCTCTCTCTCTCATATCATCATTCACACACTCAATTCATGTCTTCTTTAGTCGACCTCTTCCCCCTCTATCTTGTTCTTCCTATCTTGTTCAACAATTCATGAAATTGAATAATTTTAATTGTTTTTTAACCGGTGCTAGGGATCTTGTGAGCTCGCATGAATCGGTACCCTACCTATTCCGTCCCGACAACCGTAAATGATAGAACGAATAATTATCTATACTAATATTATAGAGCTGAAGAGTTTGTTTGTTTGAACGCGCTAACCTCAGGAACTACTTAAAAATTATTTCAGTGTTAGATAGCTCATTTATTGAGGAAGGCTATAGGCTATATAACATCACGGTAAGGCAAATACAAGTGGAGCACCAATAAAGAATGTTTCCAAATAGGGGGCTAAAATAGCTTCTTAACATTCTATAATTCAAATGTATTTTCACTTTCTACGTAAAGGAAGTGGGGGTAAAATTTAACGTTATGCCAAAGTAACTATTCTACGCGGATGGAGTCGCGGGCAAAAGCTAGTATATTCATAAGTCGTTTATTGAATGATTTCCCGCCCACCATCCTCCGACAGCCGATAGATACCTCTTAATGACCCCGCTTATTAATGTTTCCGTTACTTACACTCCTGAAACGAAATATCTAAATTTGCGTCCGACTTCAAAATGCA